CAAAGTTACAAATGACTTGACAATAAACAAGACAACAAATCAATAGAAATGACTCAAGACCAGTAATAATATACTGAATCTGATTAGTTATGTTGTTTTCCCCCATTTGTTTTGTAGGTACCAGAATATCTCCATCACGTCAACAAACGCTTGGAGGAAGAGGCTGACAGGGTCATCACATATCTGGACCAGAGCACGCAGTGAGTGCTAGAACGTGGTTTTTAGTTTGACATTTAACACCGTCCAACAAAGATTCATTTGTAACCCGAGTGTGTTTTTCTCCCTCCCCAGAAAACCACTCATTGCTACTGTGGAGAAGCAGTTGCTGGGTGAACATCTCAGTGCAACTCTGCAGAAAGGTACACAACAGTTAATGCATGAGTGTCATTACAGCAGTCATTGAATGTGGATATTTCCTGCCTGTCTGAGCACAGACTGGGATTTGAAAGTGGTAAAGCTGCTCGAGTTCTGATTCCTTTCTGTTGTTGCAACTTTCCAGGGCTGACTCATCTGCTGGATGAGAACAGAGTTCAGGATCTGTCACTTCTCTATCAGCTCTTCAGTCGAGTGCGAGGTGGTGTTCAGGTCCTGCTGCAACACTGGATAGAGTACATAAAGGTACGTTAGCATCAGCAGTGATAGAAGACTGTGGATAATCAAGGATGAAGGTGCTGAGCTGTTGAGTAATTTCACACATTCTGTTCTCTAATGTCTTCAAATTCAACGTGTAGGCCTTCGGAAGCACAATCGTAATCAATCCCGAAAAAGACAAAACCATGGTGCAGGAGTTGCTCGACTTCAAGGACAAGGTGGATCACATCATAGACATCTGCTTCATGAAGAACGAGAAGTTTGTCAACGCCATGAAGGAGGCGTTCGAAACATTCATCAACAAGCGGCCAAATAAACCTGCAGAGCTCATAGGTCAGTAATGAACTTATAACTAAAGTGAGCAATTAATCATAATCATAGAATAATCATCATCTTTGAGAAGTAACATGTGCGATGAATGCACTTCTGTTTACAGCCAAACACGTGGATTCAAAGCTACGAGCGGGAAACAAAGAGGCAACAGATGAAGAGCTGGAGAAGATGCTGGATAAGATCATGATTATCTTTAGATTCATCTATGGTAATATTCACACTCACATATGTTTCACTCTTGTTATTATACTTTCTCTGTGGGTGTTTTTGACATGTTGGTTTATTGTCTTTGTAGGAAAAGATGTTTTTGAGGCGTTTTACAAAAAGGATCTGGCCAAGAGGTTACTGGTTGGAAAAAGTGCTTCTGTTGATGCTGAAAAATCGATGTTGTCAAAGCTGAAACACGGTTAGTTTAATGTATCACTTTTAATATAAGCAAACACATGAAATGAGAAATGAATAACGAAAGGAACGAATCTCTGAATCTCCATTAATTGGTGAATTTGTGGTATTTCCTCAGAGTGTGGAGCAGCGTTCACCAGCAAACTGGAGGGGATGTTCAAGGATATGGAGCTTTCTAAAGACATAATGGTTCAGTTCAAACAGGTAAGCACAACAATAGTGAGCTATAACTAACAGAATACTATACACTTGATGATTGACAGTAAGATTATGTTTGAGTCTATCCTACTCATTCAGTTAGGCCATTGTAATTATGCAGTTAAGAGCAAAACACATAGAACAGTGCCACGTCATCAGGCAGTGGAAATGCTTTTGCTATTAAGTCTGCAACAAAATATATCTTGAATTATCTTATAATCTGCCCATTATTTTTTTGATTAATCACCTAATTTCTATCTTGTTTCATCAAATGAACTGCAGATTCTTAGAATGACGAAGGCAAGTGTTTTAGGTATTCTTGCTGCAATATTTACTTGAGATGATCATCACAATTGGTTGTAATTGACATAGTCGATAAACGTAGCAGTAACTGCTTGACTTAAATTCACTGCATTGCATAAATCTATCATGTTTCCCAAACACCCGTGTAAAGACATGATTGAGCTTTTGAGGTTGTAGCACTACGTTGTGGAATTATCTTCCTACACTTGTAAGGTTTCCTGGTTCGCAGTTAAAGACATAGCTTTTTAAACTTTTGGCTTTCGAGTCTTAACTCCGCATTTAACTCTGTATCGTTTTTGTTTGTGTGTGTGTGTTTTCTGTTTTGCATTTTGTATGAGCTTATGCAACCTGTTTTTATAGCCCTGTTAAGCAATTTGACTCCTGTCTGTGAAAAGAGCGATGCAAATAAATTTAACAGTTGTACTCCCAAGAGCTCATTCCTGACGGATCACTTTGTAACAGGAGCAGCATGATTCTACCCTTTATCTGACATTCACCAGTATGAAAGACAAAATGAATGATCCCTCATTAAATTTTCAGACATGTGTTATTATTCCCTATGGCATTATTAACCACTGTGTTGGTGTCTAATAAGCCTTCACACACACACACACACACACACACACACATGAACCTACAGTATGACTTAACGCAGCCTTACACCATGACTGGAACCTTAAACTCTTCCCCTCAACCCCAACTCAGCCTGTTGCGTTTAACACCCTGCTGTTTTTTGGAATTAGCAATTTCATAGAATAATGTAGAAAGAAGTGTTAGTTTGGTATCACATGCATCTCATTTGTGTCTGTGCAGTATATGCAGTGCCAAAACATTCCTGGCAACATTGAGTTGACTGTCAACATCCTAACCATGGGCTACTGGCCTACCTATGTCCCAATGGAAGTGCACCTGCCTCCTGAGGTTAGTGCTGAACAAATATTGAGATTTTTGTAACATGCTGTTTAAATAACCTGACATGCAATAAACTTACAGAGTGTTGCTTTGTTACGCCTCTGTTATCTTTGTCCAGATGGTGCGACTGCAAGAGATCTTCAAGACCTTCTACCTGGGCAAACACAGTGGCAGGAAGCTGCAGTGGCAATCAACACTAGGCCATTGTGTCTTAAAAGCTGAATTTAAGGAGGTGGAGAACTCATTTCTGCAATCAAGTTGTGTAGAGTTGTGTTTTTCCTCGCTCGGTGTGTAGATACAAATGTTAATTGTTCTCTTTGACTTTTCTTACAAAAGGGCAAGAAGGAGTTGCAGGTGTCACTTTTCCAAACACTTGTGCTACTGATGTTTAATGAGGGAGAGGAGTTCACCCTGGAGGAGATCAAATTAGCAACAGGAATAGGTTTGTATCATTACATCAAAGTTTGGTCAGCGGCACTGTGATTCTTGATGAAGTGAAAAGTGCTGTTGAGTTCTTTTTATTCAATACCACTGATGTGTGTCTGCTGGTTCACAGAGGACAGTGAACTGCGCCGGACTCTGCAGTCACTTGCTTGTGGGAAAGCACGGGTTCTCACCAAAATCCCCAAAAGTAAAGACATAGAGGACGGGGACAAGTTTTCCTGCAACGACGACTTCAAACACAAGCTCTTCAGGATCAAAATAAACCAGATCCAGATGAAAGAAACGGTACAGCTGTTGCCTTTCAGTAGATTTTCCAATTTCAATATCATCACAGTGTTTGGGAATATATTTAACTTGAGTGTTTTATCTCAGGTGGAGGAGCAAGCCAGCACCACAGAGAGGGTCTTTCAGGATCGTCAGTATCAAATCGATGCTGCGATTGTGCGGATCATGAAGATGAGGAAGACTCTGAGCCATAATCTCTTGATGTCGGAGGTGTACAACCAGCTCAAGTTCCCCGTCAAGGTGAGAAACACAAACCTGAATCTTTCTCTGGCATTTTTGCATTTTTATTGAGAAGCAATGGTAGAGAGATGATGGGAAAGGAAGGAGGGGAGTGAGGAGGGAAATAAAGTTCCCTTATAATTTAAGATCAAACCTAGCTTGTACGAAATTGACTTAAATGTAGCAGATTTCCATGAGCAATGCAATGACTAACATATATCCTGTTTATTTATTATTTTCTCATATTTACAAAAATAACCGAAAATCTTGACATGTGCCTCATGTGTTAACTTCCACCTCTCTCCTGTCGTCTTCTCTTCCAGCCTGCTGACTTGAAGAAGAGGATAGAGTCTCTTATCGACAGGGACTATATGGAGCGTGACAAGGAGAACGCCAACCAATATAACTATGTGGCTTAACAACAGATAAAGTGACATGAGAAAAAAAGAGATGCAGATGGATGGTCCAGTCAGGCTGAGTGATCAGTCTCTAAATCTTTTGCTCCAGTGGACGTTAACCATTATCATCTTCAACCTAGCGACCGACAAGTGAATGGATATTGCTCGCTCCACAGGATTGTTTTTGTCAGGGGTCTTGTGATCCTGTGGACTGCATGCCCATTGAAAAGAGAATATTGTCCATATTTCTCAGTGCCTCTGAGAGGTGGGCGACCGTGGACTGACAAAGAAGACACACAGATGTTGTTCCGTTTGCTCTTTTTTTTTTTTTAACGAAGAGGAAAACTATTTATTTTCAAACTTAGATCCTCCTTTGTCCATAGTTTGAATCATTATGCTCTTTGTTACCCAGTCACTTTTTTGTCTTTTCGTTCACTCAGTATCCCAAGTGAATGCTGACACACCTCTAAATGTACCACATGTTGGAGGGGGAAAAAAAAGGATCAAAAAATGTAACTTGCTGCTTGTTTCTTCAGCCAGTGTCAAATGTGGGACTATTGGACAAACATTAAGATTAGAGCTTTGACCTTTGGAAATATCCGTGTCAAATGTATGACCCTGCTGCAAAGTTGGACAAGGCCCCGGCGTCCAAAGCAGAGTCTGTGCCAAAAAAAAAGGAGCACTTCTTTTGTTATAACACATTTAAGTTCCTTGTTTGTTCTTTCATTGTACATGGTTGTACATAGTTCACAATAATGACATGATCCCAACAGTCAGCAGCTTTTTTTAGGCTTTCGTTAACCCTTAGAAACGTCTACTAAAAGCACAAAACCATCATTTCCCCCCCCCATCTTCCCTGGTTCCATATCACATACGTATACAATTTTGTTTTTGTAAGTCTCCCTGTGGGGCTTATTTGCTTCAAAGTGGGACTGGATCGCCTCGAAACACGAGGATAAATCTGATTGATGGGACTTGCCCATGTTTGTATGAGTCTGTTAGATTTATTGCTTCAGATTAAAACAACTGTTTCAATCGGGGGGTTTCTTTTATCAATCATTGTTTTAAATGCGTCTCATTGTCTTGGATGAAAACTGCACATCGGTCTCAGTTTTTATTTTTCTTCTATGAAACGTTCACGTTGTTCGCAGCCTTTACAAAATGAACACGATCGGTGCAATGATTAACTGAGAGGAGGGAGAGGAGGCTGGAGTTCGCTCCGTGTGTTGACGCTGGTCGCTGTCATGTGACTCACGTTTCCTGGTACAGTCGGCAGCGGCTCTCCCACAGCTCACAACACCGCTGACTGAGCGACCTGCCCGGGCATCTCTCTCTCTTCCCTCCGGCGGCAGACACTCCAAAAACCCTCCGGCGACCATGACCCGATACGCTGCTTTTGTTTTGCTCCTCGCCGCTGGGATCGGTACGTACCACGACATGAATTCGTCTTTAAATCGGCTTCAAACAAGTCACGTTAAAAAAAAAAAAACCCCATCTTATTCTGCGAAGTGACGTGATTAAATTTACGGGACTCCTTGACCCGGGCCTGGTGCAGCCGGGCTCCGGCTAAGTGCGGGTTAAATTGAGACATTAAATAAGCATATCTTTATTATCTCTGGGATTTAATGTTAAAGACAGATCCCTGGTCTGTTTGAATTTGCTTCACAGGCCTGAAAACTCACCACCAGCTGCAGAGGAGCAGTCCAGTAGAGGTGTTGTGCTAACGTAGCTTAGCTGCTAATTGTTACCTACGCCAACAACGCAGAGCTGCAGTAACCAGACGTGTCGTGTGAAACCCGAGCAGCCACATTTGACTATATACTCGCTTTTTATATTAATCACACCTCCGGGTTATAGACTCAATACAAATAAACCGACAAGCTAGTTTTAACGTTTAAAGGACTGCCGTGTCAAAATGTGTTGGCCGATCAGCTAGCTTGGCCATTAGCTTGCCCATTGGATAACACTTGTTTTGAAAGCTAAAGTTCGACATGAAGGTTAAATATCAGGTTATTCGGAATCGTGTCTGCAGCTAAATAATGCTAACAACGTCATCGACGTCAAATTAAGCCCAAAACCACGTTTGCACGTCATGAAACAGCATCTGGCCACAGTAGGTAGCATTAGCAACATAGCGTTAGCATCCAATTGGAGGTTTTAAGTAAGTTAGCACGGGGCAGCACAGTTGATCTAACGCCATGTGATGTGGTTTATTATCTTAGGTAACCTGCACAAAAGTTCATAAAAAGACGAATATAGAATATTTGTCTCACTACAAACCAGATCGATTCCCAAATCAGCATTTTAAATAGGAATCAACTAGTTTCTAATGGCGTGAATTCGTTTTGTCATATGTGTTGTCGTCGATGCTGGGGTTTTTTTTTGGGAAAGTTCATGTTCAAGGCAGGAAAATATACTCAGTGTGATGACATGCATGTGAGTGTCCTGGTACTGATCAGGGTTTTGCACATGTAAACAACATATTTAGATTTTACAATCCTGAATGAAATGAATATTGTTATGGTTAGAATTGTAGACACAGAGATATCCAGGTTTCTAATGTTCTATGTATCCTGAATGTGATGAATGCAGGTTAAGACTTTAAACCAGGATACTACTGCAAACTCACGCTCTTCCTCCGGAAGTATGTCAACCCCTCGTTATAACAATTAACCTCAGTTAGTTTCAGTGACACTCAGCTACATGAAAAAGACTTCAGATTAGACCAAATACTGTCTGGTGAGGTGTGACTTGGCAAACGTTATGTCTCCCGGTCGGGTACTTCAGTAAAAAATAAAGTCTTTTATTGCCAGGTCACATTCTGTCAGCTGCTTTATAAGGTGATGACACCTGGGGTCTGTGCTGTTTTGCAGTTGATGACAGTGCATATTGTAAACACCATATAGATACTGTGACTGGACCTTGACCCCCTCTCCTTTATTATTGCACGGTTTCTCAGAGCAAGTGAAAAAAATCTAACTTAAAATGTGTATTGTCATCTGAATATATTACAAAAGTGTTATGTTGTGCAACTTCTGCTCATGTGGTTCTTACACATTCTAACCCTAACTCATACATACACCTATGTGACAGGAAACCTCGTATAGCTTTAGCATTAAGTATTTTGTGTGGCGTTATATCATTTCACAGAATTACTTTTTTCAGACAGGCTTCATATGTCCTTAATATGAATGTCCTTAAGTTTCCATTTATTAAATGCCATCTGGACTTCTTGCTGTTATAAATAATGATTATACAAAGCAGAAAATAGTGTAATTTTTCTTTATTTTTTTTCCAGTTTTCCAGCTGTCAAATGGCGTTGAAGTGAACGTCACAGACAAAGAGGGTAAATTATGCCTCTATGCAAACCTGATGGTCAACTTCTCAGTCTCGTATGTAGCTGCAGAGAAGGTGAGTGAATAGTCTTAATCACACTGATCATGAGATGTTCTAAAATGTCAAATTGTGTTGGGTGTATTTACGTCCGGCTGCACGGTATCCTTATGTAATCGAAGCCAAGCAATGAAATTTCACTCTTCTCAGGCCACCTCAGCAAACATGACTGTCAGACAACTCTTGTGAAAGCAAAATAGAAGGAGTCAAGGCCAAGCAAAAATGTTTCTTGCTTTTCAGCATTTCAGTTGGCATGTTGTCCTGATGCACATCCTGCTATTGTTATGTCGTTAGTTCTGTTGAAAGAAGGTCAGAGAAATGCTTGTAAGTTTAAAAATTACTATACTTGTCAAGTACATGAGGTGACGAAAACAAAACTGAAATAAAAGTTTGTTGCTTGGAGGCAAATATTTTTACACTAAGTAAGATGATACTTAGCATCGGTATGTCTGTCGCAGGCTCTAAAACTCTAGGATGTCATTTTCTTTTGAGATCTGTCAAGTCATCTTTTTACCAGTTAAACATTAATCTCATATAATCCTGTTAATTAAGCATTCACTTTTTTCTCCTTTCAGAATGACACAGTTGAGATTGAACTTCCAAGTGCAGTCACAACAGAAGGAAGTGAATGTGGCCCCACAAGCTCAAAGTTGAAGCTTAATTTTGGAGACGGGCACTCCTGGAGTGTGAACTTCACCATGAATGGAAACATGTACCAGGCAGACTCCATCACCTTTTCCTACAACCTCAGTGACTCCACTGTCTTCCCTAGATCTGTATCAAATGGTAACTTGTACACCTCTCAGTGCCAGCAAAACAAAAAGTGAATGAATGGTATTGAACTGATGCATCTTTGAATTTCTTCTAGAAATTGCATCCGTGACCGGGAAGTCTCAGATTACAAACGTGGGTGTGGATACCAGCTACTCCTGCAAGAGTAAAGACATGATACTTGCTGATGTGGTCAATATGACACTGTCCAACGTGCTCATACAGGCGTTTGTGAGTGAAGGCAAGAGTAAAAATAGTAAGTGCGGATCCAACAACACATTTCATCCCGGCTGTAATGTTTTTTTTCCTGAAGCTGTTATTGATCTTTTCTATCTTATATTTCCTTCACACAGTGACATCTTGCAGTGCTGATCAACCCGTAACCTCTCCTCCCCCGACCACTCAAGGCACCAATGCAACCACCGCAGCCCCCGCAACAACCGCAGCTCCTGTCACAAACGCAACAACCGCAGCTCCTGTCACAGACCCAACCACCGCAGCTCCTGTCACAAACGCAACGACCACAGCTCCTGTCACAAACGCAACGACCGCAGCTCCTGTCACAAACGCCACTTCCACTGCCCCTCCTCCTACCCCCACCCCGACGCCCACCCTCCCTCCTCCCAACACTGGGAAGTACAGCGTCAACTCAGACAACACCACAGTCTGCATGTTGGCCAACTTTGGCCTGCGGATTGGTATCAAGCAAGGAGAGGTACGTTCATAAACACAGAATAATCTGTGATCGCAGCCTCATGTTTCCCAGGTGATACACAGATGTTCTTCCACAGACTCTGCTGATCTGATTTCCTTCTCTTCCCTCAGACACAGATGTATCAGGAGATGAACCTCGACCCCAACAAGACCGTGGCCTCTGGATCATGTGGAGTCAACAGCAGCGAGCTGCAGTTGGTGTCAGACACTATGACCATCGTGTTCACCTTCATTAATGTAAGTCCTTGACAGTATGTTGTTAATATCCATTTGATAAAAACATCATGTGGTCTTTTAGCTAATTGTTACATTCCTGGATTTATAATGTTGCTTTAAAAAGCGTATTTGCTTTTCTTCTGACTCATGCGTTTGCTAATTTCTGTGCGGTAAATGTGAAGCTACAGTCAGAAACTAGCAGTGGCTTTGGCGGATCCATGACACATGTGAATACTTTATCTCTCCAAAAATGCTGCATTTGTACCAACACAAAACAACCTCACAAAATATGACAGGAAACATCAAAATGCTACATCTACAGTGACAAACCTGAAGCTGAATGGTTCATGTGCAAACCACAAAGGCACCAATCCCCTCAGTTTGATTCTGTTAGTAACCATGCTGCTCTTTTCCCACATTCACTGTCTTCACTGTGCCTGTTGAATAAAATATTTCAAGAAGGGAAATGTTTGTATCATGGTTGTTGGACTCAGATTATTTTATCCAGATGACACAGCTCCCAGGTTTCGATTTTCAATTCATTGCTTCTAAACTTGTATTTTTCTTCCAACAGGACACAGCAAAGTTCCGCCTACATGCCGTCAACTTCACCACAAAGACGGGCTCTGGTAATAAGAAGAATCACATCTACCGAAGAACACCAGGCACCATTCTGAGCCGCAAGCTAATGGTATTCTTTATATGTGCTTTATTTTAAGGTGTGGACATTAATGTGGTGAACACCAACCTGACTCTATGGGAGGCGGCCATCGGAAGCTCCTACATGTGCAACAAGGAGCAAAACTACACCATCACCAACCAGCTCAGCTTCTACACCTTCAACCTGCAAGTGCAGCCCTTTGGAATCACAAAGGGGGGTTTCAGTACAGGTAAGCAAATCTTTAAAATCCTCCTCCAATGAAAACTTATGGTGTGTTTTTTTATACAATACAAATACAAATCTTATGATGCTAATGTTTCATATGTCACATACTTACTGAGTCAATACTTGCAGGCTGGGGTTTTCTTTATCATTTCACCACATCATACCTCTGAGAGCGGTTGTCTCTCTGTAGAATTAGCAGGGACATCAGAGGAGAAGCCAGGTCTAGTTAACTGTCTGTTTTTTACAAGTGATGTAAGCTGAGGTACCTAATTCAGAGCTGACCATCAAGACCTGGGTTTATCTAACATTAACAACACATTATTAACTGTGTGATAATGAACACTCACGTTATCCATTTCTGTTGCCTTACTTTTTATGGTTCAAACATGTTTGCCTGAATTACTTTTAAATTACTGTTTGCCATGGTGTAGCCTACAGTAGCAGGCAAAACAGAACATGAGCAGTGGCTTATGTGTTTTAATGAGCAGAGTCAGAGCTGCTGCTGAGGGGTGGGTGGCGATAGAGACAGGGCTAATTTACATATTCATATATTCACAAATACCAAATGAAGCAAAGATGCAGAGTTGCATTCACAGAATTGAACATGTAATTTTGAGGGACAGAAAACTTAAGTGTTGTTAAGAGTCTGTGGGAAATGTTTTTGTTCCAGCTCATGAGTCTCAAAGATGAAATGAGCAAGATGTTTTTTGTTCTGTTTCAAATGACTAAATCAATTTCATTCTTAGTGTTCATACCACTACATACCATTATTCAGGCTGTTCTACTGCATATCAACCATGGGAAAGTATTCATGTCTGATTATGTGAACAACTTTACAAGTTTGAGATATTTTCTCTTGACACCAAGTCAGGTGATGGATTTTTAGGGGAAATTAGAGAAAATGAACAAGACATCATCTTTCGACGACCCCCCCAGACTCCTTGTTGGGCCCTAACCCCTAGTTTTGGAATCACTGATTTAAATCCTCTGAACAGAACAAAACTATTATAAATTGGAGCTTCACTCATGTCTGTTGTTGATCAGAAAATTACTGACTGACTCTCTCTCTATCTGCAGCCCATGAATGTTCATTGGATGACACCAGCATCTTAATCCCAATCATTGTTGGCGCTGCTCTGGCTGGCTTGATTCTCATTGTAGTGATCGCTTACGTGATTGGTCGAAGAAAGACTTATGTCGGATATCAGACCCTTTAAATCACTCCTGTGATATCACGGGGCTCCCAAGCCTGGTCCTTGGGGTTTTAAATTAAAATCTAAAAAAGTCTCTTCAGGAAAAAAAACCCTCAGAAAAATTGGTTTTACTGTCTGTTGATATTGAAAATATTAGACACAGGGTGCTTTAAGAGCAATTTTGAATTACAGTCACCTCAAGGGTCTTAGATGATAGTAGGAGTAGAAATCCATTTAACGGTGGAGGGTTTGGTGTAATTCTCAAGGACCAAACTTGTTTACCCTCAATTTTTAATGTTCCTTTTTGTTGACTTCTGGATATTTGTCTTTTCTTTTTTGTTGTGTTTTCTTTTTTTGTTGATGAGCAAGTGCAAGATCCCCACAAAATATTTTTTCTCCAAATTTGGAATAATCACAGTGACATGAAAAGTGATTTACAGTATGCAGTACATCAGAGAACATGGAGTGATATCGTTACTGTCTGACTTCTACATTTTAAAAAGTCTGAAGATTATTTTTTATTGTTTTAAGTAAAAGTGTGACAGTCTGATGCAGTGGGATCCTGCACTTGCCTCGCAGAAATTCCCCCTTTCTGTTTGCATCAGCCATCATTTAATCTGTGTGCGCATTTGTACTTCCTTTTTATGGTTTTGCTTTTCATCCCCGTAATTATTTAATTTGAAATACTTAGGAATCATAATGTCACATCACTTAAATAACATTTACATCAAAAAATAACAAAGGAGGATGGTCAAGTAGCTTTTTTTCTCTGTTCTAAGAAATGAATTTGAAAGGATGAAAGTCTTCTTTCTTTGTAGCTAAAGGAAATATGCTTTAGCCCATGTTTGCCCCTGCAGAGCAGGAGAAACATTGGAAATAATTGTCCTGATTTGTGAACATGTGAAATCAAAGTGTGAGTTGTTTTAACCTCTATAAACCTTTTTCATGGACGACAATTAAACAGATCAAGCAGTAAAAGTCCTGGTAGAACTAATGACACAACAATGGCTCATTTACACACAAATGTAAAACTGATGGAATGAAGCTGTTGTTACTGTTATTAATCACACCTCTACTCTTCCTGCTGAACGATGACAAAATGTCTTCTATTAAAAAGGTCTGATACATTTGCACATGTTGCAGCCAGGGAGTGAGTCTGAAAGACGGAGCAGGCTTCTTTTTTTTTTTTCTTTCCTTAGATGTATTTTGGCATTAGGTTCAGAAAAAGGGATGGTACTATTGTGTCACTTTGAGCACCGACAATTCTGAAACAAGGCTATTTACCTGTAAATGCACTAAGACGCTCTTTACCTTTGCTTTGTGTTGAGAATGTTGTAGCATTGTTTCACCTGTGTATAGGCCTGAGCTCTGTGGGCTGCCGCTGCATCAGGGGACGTTAAAGCCCCTGAAAACTGGAAATCAAATCTAAAGCATTACTCCGCAACTTTTAAAAATATGTTGAGGTATGTTTTTATAAAGACATTTACCACAGGATTACATTTTGGGAACTTCTTGTCAAGAGTTCGATGAGAAGATTGAAGATGAAGCCACGAGCCATTAGCATAGCTTAGCACAAAGACTGGAAACTGAGGGAAACAGCTAGCGTGGCTCTGTGTGGTGAAACTGGTATGAATCATCTTACAAAGGAATTTAAAATGTGGATCTATTCCTTTATAATCTCAGCTTGTCTGCCTATTCAAAACTGTCTGGGAGCAACAGGAACAAAGACCCCCTCCCCCCAACACTCAAATGTTACAAATCCAGATTGGTGCACTGAAATCAATGATATAATCTCATGTGTCATAGACGTAACAGAGAATGTTTTTATGTTGGAGTTGGTCATGCGCAGTGAGAAGGTGAAAATAGCTTCTCAGGGCCTTGGGTGTAAGGCGTAGGCCAGCGTAGGTTTCAGTGAAGCAGCGTCAGGGATGCAGGCAAGCCCGTGCATGTGTTTCTGTAAAGATAGAGAGCTGATGTGACACATGGTAGTAGCTGCTTATTGTTGCTTGATTGTTGCAGTGTCGTGTGCTCTTTGACTCGTTGCAGCTCTTCATTCAGAGCTGAAGCAGAGCAGACAGTAAACAACACAGAGGATGAAAACTAAAGAGAAATGAGTTGGATTTTAAGTTGCATTTGAATTATGCTTTCCCAGGACGGTGTGCGTGTGTATAAATATTTGCTGTTACTCAAACTCGAGCTTTGACTTTTTGCTTGTGATTGTTGCTGTTGTGTGTATTTCAGCTTTGTGTAAACAAACTTGCCTTAATCATAAAGATGCTTTTGCAGCACCAATGTGAATGTTTAAGGTTATGTGTGTCCCTTGTTCTCAGTGAATCATCCAACGGGTTCTTTCATCATAATCACTGTGCCTTTCTCAATAATGGCGTTGTTTTTTAGTTTATTCCTCCTCTCCAGCTGAGAACATTGCACACACATGTTCAGCAAAGGGAATTTGTGCTGCAAGACCATCTTATTAAAGATCAATTCATGTGTTCTGTGAAAACAAAATGACTTCGGATTTCATCTCCAATCTCTCTCTTGCTGTTAGCGCTAATAAATTTCAAGTTGTGTGTCGGACTGAAGTGGAGCTTTTTAGCATTTTAAGATTTCTTGAAATAAAAATGTGTTGCTGTCCTGGACACTCGAGTAAATGTTTATTCCTTCTTTTAAAATTGTTCAATGTTAACTTACATGCTTTAAAGATCTTTTCCTGCCATCCATTAATCATCATTCTATATTTTAGTTCTCTGTTCATCCTATGAGACTGTTCATCTCTGCTTTCTTCATTCTCGTCTAGCTGAGGAATGCCAGGCCGACGAGGACAGCTTCCTTGTTCCCATAGCTGTCGGAGTTGCCCTGCTTGCTCTCATTCTTATCGTTCTTCTGGCCTATTTCATCGGAAGAAAGAGAAACATTGCCACCAGCTACGAGTCTTTCTAGTTAAATTTGCAAATATACACAGAGGGGAGTCTGTGAATAGCTGCTTGTTTGTCTCGCTAATTCCGACTAATTGTGAAAAATTACCGGCATGTGTATTAATGTTTCCATGTAGTGTTCGGTGCTTTGAGTGCCTTTGTAAAGGAACAGTTTGGGAAATGCTCTTACTTGTTTTCTTGCTGAACACTGCAGGTCCGATTAATGTGAAGCTGCAAGCTGGTACATGAAAACATTTTGTGTATTTCCCAAAAATATCAACCTGTTCCATTAATGCTCATTGAGAGCAATAATCTATGTCCACTTGTATATTTCAGACTCTAGTGGTCTCGTGGTTCATTCTGTTATTCCACTTTTCATAGGTTCTGAGTTGCAGCGTCTCCTCTGTCTCTCTAACCCTCCGTCTCGTTCTCAGAGTGTTTTCTGCTGACCACTAACCCGCTGTCTCTGTCTCCTCTCTCCGTCTGTCAGCTGACGAATGCTTCGTGGACTCTGATTTGAGCTTTTTGGTGCCCATTGCAGTGGGCGTGGCGCTCAGCTTCCTAATCATCCTTGTGCTTATCTCTTACCTGATTGGCCGGAGGAAGAGTCGCACTGGCTACCAGTCTGTATAATCCAACCCGGCTGCTTCTGCCTCTCACACCCTTCTGACCCTCACAGCTCCTGAAAAATAATCTCCCTCCTGAACCTCCTCCTTGCTCCTCAGTGCAACACAAGCATCCCCACGTTTCTGCTTCTTTTTCTGTTTCCTGTGATGAGGCTCCCTGAAAATATCCCTCAGCTTCTTTCTCGTTCCCGGTTGAAAATCTGTCCCAGCGACCTCCCCACTGGTTTCCTTTGTTTTTGCTTTGATGCCAATGACTGAATCCACTACCGAGACATTTAAGATCGATATATTTGCATCATTGATTATAGATTGCATGTGTTAAAGATTCAATTTATGGCTGTGAGTAGCCATCCACCTCCTCCCCCACCCTCTTCCAGAGAGAGAGAGGCTTTTCCCTCTCAGTTTCTGTGCTGTATAATAGTATATGTGTAAATGACTTGTATAGAATTAATGACATTGATATCTGATGACGTGAATGTACGAGCAAGCCAATAAATCCGTATCCTAGATTTCTTTAACATTCATACAACATGAATTAACAGAATCAGTTGCACAGAGTCATTTAATTGAAGCTTGATTAAAGGGACACTAACTTATCACTTAAACCCAACCAGGTTTAAAAACATTTCTTTCACTCATGTTCGGAATATTTAAGACATTTATTTTTTAAGAAAATGAACACTTCTCTTTAAAAAACGTTTTATATGTTTTTATTTAATGAATTGATAATTGTGTTGGTCCTTTATAATCCATTTCAAGCGTTGGACACGTGCGTATTCTGACCATGGGGTCGAGCGTCTCCAACCCAGTTTGAATTTTAATTTACACAAGTTGCCACAAATCAAACTTGGTTGTTTGTGCCTAAACTTTATTTAGAGGAAGATCACTACACTTTCGTCCACGTGAGACACCAGGAACATTCACAGCATGAGCAGGTCACGGATGAAGACCATGATATATACAGTATATCCTCAGTTGCTCTATACAGTTCACCCTCTGTTCATCAGCTCATCACTCACTCCCTCCAACAGTTTGTGCCTTTCTGTTGTGCACCACTGACTCACTTGCTTGAATCTTGTCTCCATCTGATGAAGAATGTGATGAGGAGCTTGTTTAACACAAGCGGGGAACAACTTAAATAAAGTTTCGTTCTTGTTTTGTATCGCTGTCATTCTTGTTTACCGGTTGAATTGTTGCATCAAAAAATTGAGAACGTCATTTAATTTTAGTAAAAATAAATATTTCATGTAATGTTAAATGTTATGTTAAATCTAAGATTCTGGTTTGCTCTGTATTTATTGTATTTTTCTCATACGTAACATAAAGTTAGGTGATGAGATACGATGTACAGATTAACAGTACCTACATCCTCACAAGTAGATCTGCATTTGACGCCCGAAGAAAGAAAAGAAACTGCAATGACCAGAAAACCCCCAAACAAGGCCCCACTAGCTCATAGCGCATAGTTTAAGTAGTTTGTATTCTGCTTTTATTGTGAAGGTGAAGAGCAGGAGCATGAGAGTCTTTTAACAGAACTGAATTCAAAGGTCAGTGGTTGTAAATGAGACGTTCGCTGAACCCGGTTGTGTTCCTATAATAATTGTAAAATCGCGGTAAAGTCTCAATGAACTTTGAATTCAGTTTCCGCAGGGTTTTAAAAGACCACAATTCTAAGTTTAGAATATTTAATATTTTCCCTCACCTGCTGTGAAACTCCAAAAAATCTTTAAAATATGAAATTTCATCTTGTTAACCTATTTTCCTTTCAGTAAAAGACGACAGACATTTATGACCATCCACTGTATTTATACCTTTAACAGAAAACTGAAGTCGAACAATTAGTAAAAACTGAATTTAAACAATTAAAAAAACTTTTTAACAGAATTATAGAATTTAGATGCATTGATAGTTTTTATGTAAAACAACTGATGAAGACTTTTCTGTGGAAGAAAACCTACAGTATTTACCAGAGTATTGTATTTATTATAAGAACTATATTAGAAATAAATACAACATTGACACCAGGTTTAGTAGCAAGTTTCAGGGAGGATTAATACGACAACAAAAGTTATGCTCTTTAAAATGGTACAGATGTTTCACAAACTATTCCACAGTACAATATGTCTCTTTATTGATCAGTCTTGTGTAGTACTCCATTTTCAAAAGCAGATGTTTTTACAAAAGAAGGCAAGAAGTGGATTGTGATACTTTATCATAAATGTATAATTCTGCTCTATTCGACATCATAGTATATTTGCAGTCATTATGTATATTTTTACTGTGTAAGTACAGTACAAGTCCTGCGTTCAGTGTTTGCATGATACTTCTTTGAATTCTTACAATATACAAGTTTGAAAAATATAATGCAAAACAAATTAGTACATGTCATACAAAAATGTGTGACACAAAACCATCATCTAACCAGACAAAACAATATATCTAATCACCTAGTAAAGTTTTAAGTTATAATTGGATTTGCATAGCCAGAAACGCTAACTATTGGGCAGAGAGTAATTTAGTTTGATTAATCTTTCTAATCATTACGAAATATGAGGAACTGAATTGTAACTTGCTCTATGCACTCCTCCTGTGCTCAGCACTGTTTTTGTTGTGGGTGCAGGGGCCAGTGGCACAGAGATATCACAGAAACACAAGAGTAAATATCTACTTCTTGAGGAATTTGTTTTCACAGCACAAGAAATGAAGATTTAAGTGAAAGATGAGAAGAAGGAAATTACATATTTCATGAAAAATAATGGAATGACATCATTTTTTTTTTTTTCATTGTAAATTTTCCAGCCTGATTGTTACGGGAGCATCCTGCTGGCAGAGACATCATTGCCTTAAGCGCCGACCTCCAAGGAGAAGGTCACGCTCCCCAGGTAGCGGTCGGTGGGTGAATCGTTGATGATGCCCTTTCCATTCAGTTTGCATTGTACTTGGATGTGTGAGTCGTACTGCACCCTTGCAAAACGCACAGCCACCACCGGTGCAGAGTAGTTTACCTGAGACAGAAGACATACACATGATTGAGAGTCATTTAGAGTTATGAAGAAAATTATTGTATTTTTGCCAAAGCAGTGATGAAACCCACATGTCTGAGCTTCCCATAGTACGGGTAGTAATTCATGTCAAAAATGCTTTTAGGAAAAAACTGGAGTTCTCCCAAGGCTTCTGGTGGTCCTTTCTGAAATAGGAAAAAAGTAGATGACACAATTAAGAACAATTTTAGACACGTTACATTTTACTGCAAGTGAACATGATGATGGTTTCTGTACCTTTACGTCACAAGTCACATTTATTGGTTTGCCCTGGCCAGGTAAGTAACCAAGAATCTATTGAAAAGTAAGAACAGTTAAAGACAAGTGAAAAAAGAAGATTAATTAAAACCTCAGGACAATCTCTTATATATTTTCCCCAAGAATGAACCCAATACATTTTGCTTTAGCTCAGGGAACAACACTTTGCTTGATAGAAAGAATACTTAATGGATCTTGATGAAGATGATAGGGGGCTGATATTTAAGAGTATGTGCAATTTTGTGCAGATCTAAATAAGAATCCAGATCCAGTTTACAGTGGTATTATATGCACACTCCACCTTTTTCATCATTAGAATTTCTTTATATATAAATTATTAAAATCACACATAAAGTGTATTTCTAACTTATTTAACTTTAACTCTGCAATTTACCATTATATTGACCCAAACAGGAATATATCTTGGTCCTATTCTTGAGATGGCCACAAGATGTCACTCATGAGAAAACTCAGCAGTACAGTAACAGTGTGTATTTTTTGTGCTGGTTCATAATACTTTGTTTTTTTTACTAACACCCATCTTACCCGATTCATTCGAAGGAGGATGCATGGCCTTCCCTGAGAGTAGCCATAGTTGGGGTCCTGCAGCCCCGAACAGTCCCCCAACCAGGACCTCTTAAACTGACACGCTTTCCGTTCGGCACTCTCCTCCAAGTCGTCCTGCATGAAGTATCTGTCCTGTGTGCACCGGATGTTCTTCCTCTCCTGAACGCCATCGTTGTACGCTGTAAATGAAGATCAGGGAGAAAGAGGCAGAGAGGGAGGGAGGGAGAATGAGAGAGGAGGGCATAAATAAACCTTTGCAACAGCAATGCCATGCCAGACTCAGGCCTCTGATTAAGGAAGCTTAACAAAAGCAGGGTGTAAAAAAAAAGGGGGGCACTGAATGGCTGCACTCTGTCGACAAAGAGGCTTCCCTTCCCAGCATGCCCTGCAAAGTCCGAATGGAAAAAGGGGGACAAAGGTAGTGAAGATGAGGATTAACTCATTGCCTGCCTGCTCCACTTGCAACAAACTCAACAACCCTATCATCTTGAACATCATCCCACTCACGTCGTAAATACTCGTCCATCGACCTGGCGTACTTCTTCCAGGATTTGCGATCGGTGGCGTTGAAGGCGATGTCATGGCCCTCTAGGTGTGGGGCCATCGTCATACCTGCCAGTGGAGACGCAGAGACAGTCAACTGTGCTGAGACTCAAGTAGAAGCGACGGACAGACGGAGTATCGAGCAGAGGGACGAGAGGAAAGTGACGGAGGAGAGGTGTGAGGGTTGAGGTTATATTTACCTGGTGGCATCACTCTATCGTTGAAGGTCGGATGGTAGGGACTAATGGACCACATGAGGCAAAAAATACAGCCACCAAACATGGCTGCAAGAAAGATATAAAGTGCAGCGTAGAAGAGAAGGATGAGGCCTAGAGGGAGAGTGAAAAAGTGAATTATTAGGGGAAAACTTCAGGATATGACTCTGATTTGAGGAAAACATTTTTTAAAAAGATTTAGCTGACATGATCTGTCTGCTACTCTCCATGACAGTCACTGCAGTTCACTCAACCAAAAGCAGAGCCCCCCCCCCCCCCCCCCCAAAAAACTCCAATAATTTTCTCCATTTATTTCAGAGCCCTGTAATAAAGAAACCCTGAGAACTGGGTTTGTGCTGCAATTGTCAATTACCAGTCCATTAGCCACTAATCAAGCTAAACGTGTCCTAAATTAAGTGGCTTTTGCTGTGTAGACAATTTCACAGGGGACTTGCTGCGGCCAGCCTTGCGTCCTCGGAGCCACAAAGGACTTTCTGTTTCAGCTCAGTGAGAATTCTCCCAGCTGTCCTTTCACTCAGGAACACAGTGAACCTCCGGTTGCCATCGTAGTGAAGGTCTTTTGCAGCCATAGAGGCCCGGCCAGCTCCAAGGAGCCCCAATCACCCCACTCTGGTATTGTGTCCCCTCTTACACACTCGTCTCATAAGACACACTGCACAGACTTCAACCCAGGGCCTTTCTTCAGCGGACACGGGGGCCCCCCACTCCTCAATAAGTGTACACACACTGGTTATGTAGCTGAAATGAGCTCTTAGCTCTGCCTGGGATCCAGTGTTGCAGCTCATGCAAGGAACACACACTTTCCCTGGATATTTTCTCTACACGACGTTGGATCATGTTTGCCATTGTGTACAGTGGATCTGAGGGGGGGGGGGGTCCACAGCGACACCCTGGAATACCAAGAGACTGCTCCATCATCATTGACTCAACAAACTCTGTCTGTCGCCTCTGCCAAAAAAGCTGGGTTTGGCAGTGAGCTCTATGGAAAAAAAGACATGAGCATCTCTACGTGTTTCACTGCAACTGAGGGGCCGTGAGCATGTTAAGTTCAGCGATGAGGTCGCCAAGGCTTTGGGAAAGAGGCCGTGGAGAGCATGGTAAGATGTGGAGGAATGTGATTCCTGGCCAATGCGAGGCCCAGGACAGTGCACTCCCGCTGGGGACACGTCCCCAGGCAGTCTGTTTTTGTCAGGACATTCTGAATTGTCCATGCACCTATGTAAACATTGAGCATGAGGACACACACTCACACACACACACACATACACACACACACATACACACACACTCGCAGCACAGTGAGCAGAGTCAATGGACTGGAGAGACATTTTTCACCCCCAAACTATCCCCAAATGCATTTTACAGACATTCAAACCCCATTAAGCTTCTGAAAGAGCATTCATCTGTTAACATTACATCTGTAGTTATTGGACAGATAAATAAAATATTTTTGCATCATTCCAAATGTCCCTCCCCATAACCCAACAGCACAGAACCTCTCTGTTTTTGATCAACTCACTCCAGCTCTTTCCAGAGCGACCCATGAATTCGTTGGTCTCCGCATTCCACAGGTATGTCTTTATGTCGTCTATTTTCTGGTGGAGCGTCCTCTTGGGTAACGGCCTGCGCTTCCATCTCTCAAAGTTCAGGTCTTCCTGCTCCAGAGGCCGGTGCTCAGCCAACTCCTCTTGCTCTTCCTCCAGCTCTTGTCCATGTTTGAGGATCACTTTGTGAGGCTGGTGGAAAGAAGAAGAGAAAAAGCCCTCACCACACATGTTCTCAATCGCCAAGCTCTGCTGTCAACCTATTGTCTTTTCAAATCACTGCAGGAAAAAAATTGCATGCCTTCTGATCCGAGTATGACCGCTAACATAAACTGCCAGAGTGTGCTCTGCATATTAATGAACATCGCACTGACGGTCCTGTCCCCCTGTTTCTGCACATTATAAACCCGCTGGTGACCTTTGTGGCACTCGTTGGGAGAGCTGACCTCCTCTGAGTGGACCCTCCTGCTTGGAGCAGCAGCTGCAGACAGCAGAGCTGGAGGGTGACAGCCAGATGTTGCTCACTGACTCTCAGCATCCGCAGGCCAGGGACACGCAGACCCCAGAGGAGCCGCAGGACACTTGTGAGTGTCACTGGAAAAAAGTTTGTGAAAGCCCGACCTTTAAAATAATCTGCTGTTAAATGTTTAAAATGTTAATGTGAAGTTTGAGTTTTATGCAATTCCAAAAAAAACACTTAATATCTGAGGTAATAATAATAATAATATCGCTGTTTTAAAAAAAGATCTGTGCAAATGAAGACGTCTTTATTGCTGCATCTGCTTCAGTGAACAAAGTTGTCATAAAGTTACATGTTTTCTTTTTAATATCAGAACTTACAGGACTTGGTGGAAGGTTTTTAAGGAGCGTCTCCTCAGCTCCTCCCTCTGTGGAACTGGGCTCCATGTTCTTCACAGAAAGAAAAGGTACTTGTGAAACTAATCACATCTACAGATGAACTAAAGCGACACATCTTTACCTCTGCACAACAATTTCAACACTTTTCGTAAAAGAAATCCCACAGAATCATTAGAATCAGACACAATTAAGTTATAACTTGTAGTTATAATAACCAGAATTGAATGAGAATGAAATCAGACATACCTGAAGTTTTCTTTTCAATAAAAACGTAGATTAATATGTCGGAGAAAAAAAAATTCTTGACCCCTGGAGGAGGAGGAGGAGAAAAAAATGTGTTTGTCAAAAAGTGTTTGGGGATTTCATTAGAAAGTTTTAGGCACGCAAAGGGGAGCGGGAGAGGAGAAGCTCCTTCAACTAGGCGCTCATCATGGTGAATGAACGGCGGACAGAGAAAAACTGAGGGTGGGATACGAAGTGGAGGGTTTTTTTGTCCCTGCAGTGACGTTTGGCAGCGGCCTGGACCACAGCGCCGGATTCATTCTGCACACGCACAACTTCAGCCATTGTCTGCAAAGCTGCACTTAAAGTGAAATCCTGAATGCAATATTTATAGCTTCATCTCAACACAACACCGTGCTGTCAATCATCACATGCAGGCTGCAACACTGTGCTGCAACCTGCTTTCTTCTTCAACGTGTATTTCTTGTGCTATTGTTTGATCCAGTGTTGAAACTAATGCATCATGAATTAAATATCAGTCGTGAGGTACTGTCCCTGTACATGCATGCATACCAAACCAGGTACCACAGCCCCCCTCCTTCCCCCAGTACATGCACTCCTGCATCAACTATAATCACCATAAACTTCCCTCTGGTGAACTTCAAGTCCTCCTCATCCTCTCTGCACTCCGGTCACGTAACGCTCTGTTACCCCATGTAAAAGTGGGAGGGGGGGGGGTCTTTTCTTCTTCTTCCTCTTCTTCTTTGCATGAAAAGAGAAATTGCGTCATGGAAAAAATCTGTTCTTGGAGCATTGGGCGGCAAAAAACGTGCATGTGTGTGTGTGTGTGAGCTTGTGTTTCTGTGTGTTTTACAGTAAAAATGAAAAGTGTGTTTCTTCGTCTTTTGCAGAGGTAAAAATATTTAAGCATTCTGCAGGGAAAGGTGATGGTTTCATGAACCTGTTAATGCAGAGTCATGATCTAAACATGCTTTTGCAACTTTTCTCTACAATCTGCATCTGCCCCTGCGTCATGTGACATATATGTGGATTTTGGCTTGATTGTTCCAGAGCAGTTTCTTTGGGTCCATGACCAGGATGACCTGTGTGGAATCACAAATCAGCCTCAGGGCCTCTCTTAACCATGTTTATCCTATTCTAGTCATTCCAATTCACAATATCCAACAGAAGAATAATAAGTCTTCAAATTATATTCTGACTGCACACAACAAACTGAGATGCCTACRTCAAAGATCTCACAGGCATGCATAATAACAATAATAATAATAATGACAATAACTTTTGTTTCTATAGCACCTTTCAAAACCAGAGTTACAAGGGGCTTCAAATATAAGTGCAAAGTTAGCAAATCATAGAAAAAAGCCAGATCATACTCAGCAATGCAATAAAATAAAACAGATAAAAGAACAATCATAAAAGAAAAAAAGGTCAACCTCAAAAACAATAAAAATTGTCAGTTTGGTGAAATTGTTGTTTTCAGATGGGTGGTTTTATACATGATATGATTCTATATTGTAATTATACCATAAAAATAAAGTCCAATATGCAAGTCAACTCCCCAACACAAAGGTCCAACTAATATTTCAAATGCTCTGAAAAACACAGAGGAAGTTCCAGCCACGTTGATGTGGAAGATTAAATTCCATCTAAAATATATATTTTTATATAATTTTAAAATAACCAAAGTACACCTTTATTGACCCCAGAAGAAAACTGGGCGTTGCAGCAGCACAGAACAATAACTAAAGATAAATAAAGTAAATAGATATATAGCCTTTGCTTTAAAGTGAAATTAAATAACACATAAAAATAGAAAGTATGCAAGAGCGAATAAATAAAAATACTTTACGAGTGTGCCAGGTTGTAAACTGATCGTTCAAATAATATTTTAAGAGAAACATTATTTAAATCATTTATTGTATGATGATAACTTTTTAAATTCTATGGTTGTTGTGCTCTGTGAATAAAGAAATGAGGTATTAGCACACAAACTAAATGTTTGGGATTACATGTTAATTTCCAACCAAAGAATATTGTGTTTTTCAAGATTTCAAACTTTACAGCGACTGAAGGCCTCGTGTTGAATCTCTCATCTGCTGCTTCATGAAAATATCATGGCTTTCGAACGCACCGTGTTATTGCAACACTTGGTGGCGCTCTGTGCTCACAACTTTATTATTCTCCCAAACCATGAAAAGCATCTACAAATCTGTGCAACACACAAACAGCTCTTTAGACACATTTAAACACATTACAAACACTTTAAACACATTGGAAAGACATCGAAACGCATTTTAAACAGCAGTTTAAAACATATTAAAAACACATTTAAACAAATTTAAAACAGCAGTTTAAACACAATGACATTGAAAACACATTTTAAACACCAGTTTTTAAAAATAAATTTAAAACACATTTAAAACACAGTTTAAACAGCAGTTTAAGCCCATTTGAAACGTATTGGGTCTGACTCTGAGTCATATAACTTCTCCAGCTGCTCTGTGACGAGCTGATGATCCAACATGGACGCTGGTTCCACCTCGTTCTCCTCTCAGGGAAGTTTTTACATTGAATTTCTCTCCATTCCTCACATTTGCTGTGAAATATTCAGAAACAGGATTTATTTGAAATATCAAACTCATTGGGAAGCTGGTATTTGCTCATAGTGTGAAGTTCGTGAGGAATGTTAACGTTAACTGGAATTTATTGTTCTGAAAATATAAGTTGAATTGTATCATAGAGAGGAAAGTATGAGATCAAATCTACATTAATGAAACAAATGAACAGAAACGGTTTGACTAAATCCTGCTGCTGACTCGTTCACGTGCATTCAGGTAAAGGGACGTGACGTGAAGTATCGTTACATTACATTGAAAAGAGTAACGACGTTTGTGACATGCGCACATGCGACCGACGGCGGCAGCAGCAGCACGGACCCTCAGTCAGACACCGACACACCGTGAGCACTGACACCGAGGGACGGACCAACAGCCGCGGGGATGTGAGTGAGGCGGACCCGCGGGCTCAGCTTGTGCAGTCTGAGAATGCAATTGAACGCACCACCGGGATCAGAGAGAAGCAGGATCAGGAATATTCCGCGTTAAATCGTGATTATTGATTTAATTATTTATTTATTTATCTATTTTTATTAATTTGCTGGACGGTGGATTAAACATCCCGGGGCCGGCATGCCTCCACCACAGAGCCTCCAATCCAGCGGACTGTCCCTGTCAGAAACAAGCATGGGTAGGTGTGTGCAAGGTCAACGAGTCTGCAGCAGGTTTGACCAACACTCGTGTTTACACTGCGGAGCTTCCACCGAGAGTCACACCGAGAGTCACATCCATTTCCTATCTGTGCTGTTTTTAAATCTCCATCCTCTTCATTCCTCCTCTGACAAAACAAGACACAAACAGTCGTTGCATCATCACCACCACCACCACCATCACCGTGTGTTCTCTCCTGGCTCAGGCCGCAGCGCGTCACTGCAGGTGCGGCCACGCTGAGAGAGTCCGCAGCCTGAGAGCTCGGTTGTGATCCGATCGTCAAATTAAACCAGTGAACGGATCCGTGCATGTACGAGAGGGCCAGTGAGTGTCTGTGGTGGAGTTCAGTGCAGCCTGAAACCGATTCTCACACTTTAATGGTTTCACTCAGGTGTCGGTGGAAAAATCACAGACCGGTCTACATGCTTTGTTGTGGGATCATCAGTGTGAGTTTGATAGTGCTTTAGTTTCATAATGATAAGTGTTCACATTCCAGCTCTTGCAAAAGGCTTAAAAAATCAATAATTTCGATTTCCCCTGAAGAAAAATGCATAAAAGTAGAGCTGGGCGATAATAATCAGCACAATGTAATTTAAATTGATAACAATATAACAAAAGTTCAATTTATAATGTTAATATAATACAAAAAGCACAGGGATGAGGAAACACATAATTGATTTAACATGTTTTAGCTCAGATTTGTAGAATATTTAGCTGTTTGACAAGAATAGATAATCATAAAAATCTGTTATTTGTCTTTATTTGTTTGTTAAATTTTGGTTATATCGCCCAGCTGTAGTGTAAAGGTGTTTAAAAAGTTACAGTGGTTAGACACCTTTTCTATTTTGCAATAGGCAGTAACATTAGTTGTGGAATCATTGTACATGGAAATTAGCTGGAAATCCCCACTACTATTGTAAAAATATTTGGTGTATGTAATTATTTTCTTGTTCATTTTCTGCTGCTTGTCCAGTTAATCACTGAGCTGCAGGACAGAAATATTATTAAGTCACTAAATTCATGCACTTTGTAAAAAGTATCGTCTGCACTGTTTATTCAAAATGTCTGATAAAGTCTTAAATTTATAGTGAAACCTGAAGACACTGTTTTTCAGAGCGTAACTGAACCAGAGAGGGAGTGGTTCCTGCTCAAGTGGTTACTGAAGCAGATTGTGACCATTTGATCCTGTTACATGAAGTCATGTTAAACTACTCTGTAGTTTTACTAATACATGAGTAGTATGTACTTTAAGTTAAAAAACAACAGCTTGTACATTTGACTGTAAACCTCTGACTCCTACAATCATAATGTTTTCAAAGGAAAACTGATCTGAAATGTGAAAGACTCTGGTTTTATTTTCCTGCAGAAATCCTTCTCATCAAAGCCAGGAGGTTATGATACATTCAGATCTATCCCTTTTTTCCACTGACTCTCCTGACGATCGTAAAATACATCACAGTGTGAAAACAATCGTCATTTAATATGAAAATTTCACCTCCTCTGGTTGTGATTTGGTCTCTAAAGCTTTCATGGTTCATTTCACTGTTGCAGAGCAGACGTGTTTCGTCTCATCAAGATTTGAGATCAGGTAATAAAACAACATTAAACATGCAATCAACACAATCCCAGAGGAAATTTCATCACAATATAATTGTTGTGGATATAATGATACAACTTCCAGCTCTTCAGAGTTGTTGTTTCCTCAGATTATTGTAATAAATACTAGACTATTGTTCCCTGCTGAATTATAAAAGGAGAAAGGAACAGGAGCACGTTCTCTTATTGATCCTCATGTCGGAGCATCAGTATTCAGTCAGAGTTAAGTCTGTCTGTGGCCTTCAACTCCACGTATCCTCAGATTGAAAAAAACAAACCAAAAAGGTGACTCGGCTGATTTTTCTCCACAATAAATATTATTGATTTTCTCTCACAGATTAAATTTGAAGTTATGTTTCTGTCACAAGACCCGAGGCAGGTGAAACCTTCTCCATCACGGTTTGCTCCGTTATCAGACTGCTGCTGAAACAAACATCAGAGAAGATAGTTCAGACTGCAGCTAGCCACTCCCTCCGGTCTCTCTCTTCAATTTTTAAAGTTTGACGTCACCAGAAGCCTCAGAATATCAGAGATGAGTCTGATGCAGACGCTTGTCTCTCTCCAGGAAACAGTCTCTGGGAGGAGATTCAGACAAATCTGTTTTCAAAGAGAAGCCCAGTCCCTACGTTTTGTTCATATCTTTGATTTTATCTATGGTTTTATTTTTGAACTATAAAACCTCATTGGTTTAAGCTTATACACACATGAGAAATCACTGCAGCTCCTTAATGTTTCAGGCTGTCACGTTCAAATGGATACCAGATGTAGCATGCAAAGAAAAACATGTTGGAAGAGAAATCTTTACCAACTCACAAATATATACTGACTGTCAAAAGGTCTGTTTCTATCAGGGACAAAATCTCGAGTCCTTGTTCTGTGCAGAAATGTGTTCACGAGTTTGGAGATAAAATGAGTCAAGGAAGCGGATTTATCTTTTGAGTGTGAAATCACCTGTCGCTCAAGTCTTACTGAGCTGTAGAGGAGGGGTAGTAACTTTTCAACTTTTAATGTAGACAGACATGTGGTGCATCTTAAAAGCACACTGCTTTATGAAACCATACTTTTAGACACTCTGAGAGAAAAAGCCACTGACGGTCAAAGGGACTCCAGATCCGTCATGAGGCTCTTTAACTTCATCCCATTACATCAGTAGCCTCATCTTTCTAATTGCACTCTATCAGTGTGACGTTCACTGATCTGCTCTCTTCCAGGCTCCTTTAAGAGGAGAAAGAGGAAATCCATAATAGTGACGGCGATGCTGCTAATCGTATCTGTGCTCATCCTCGTCTTTGGCATAGCAGCGACGACCAGGACGCAGAACATCACGGTGGGCGGCTACTACCCAGGAGTCATTGTGAGTTCACACCTTTACTGCAGAAGCAGCAGCGACAGGCCAGTTCCCATCAGGGTTCATAATGAGTGTGTGTTTGTAGTGAGCTCTTTCAGCTCCTGGACTCTGAAGAAGATTATCACTGAAGGTCTCTCAGGGGTGAATTTCCCCCACATTCATTATTCAGCATCACTGTCATTAGAGGCTGAGTGAGGTAAAGCATCTCAGTCCATAAATGTGTTTTCTTCACAGTACTCGGCTTTTAACGCAGTGCTTCACATAAAGAGCTGCCAGGAAGCGTCCAATGATGAAGAGGCATCTTATAACTTAAACCTCAAACTCATCACATTAATAGTTCAAATAATTTAATAATAGCCACATTCAATAAGAAATCATATTAAAGTACAAAGTGCACCGTTAGATAAGATAAACTTTCCTCAAATCACAGTGAATTAATCTTTTATTTATTTGACTTGCCTGTAAAAGTGAATAGTTCATAATGCAAACATGTTTTACAAACTTTAAACACTGGAATCTTGAATTGATCCAACTGCTCGATGAAATTAAAGCATCAAAGTCAACTGATAAATACTCTAACATCTATTTTCTCTCTCCTCAGCTGGGCTTTGGCTCTTTTCTGGGAATTATCGGTGCTCATTTGATAGAGAACAAGAGGCAGATGGTAAGAGGGTTTATATCACCTCTGTGCATTGAGATCACTCAGTGCTCTGTGTCTCCTTGTCTCCACACTCACACAACTATTACTATTAAACTGTGCGAGTCCGAGTTACCTTCACACAGCCTATATCTTGATTATGTTGTAAATATGACACTATGAACAGCATATGTGACCCAGACTGTGTGTCCCAGTTGTCCTGATGCGGTTTCATGTTGTGTATCGGGACAAGTGTCCCGGGCTGCAGGGGGAGATGCAGTCAGAAATAGAAATGGGGTGTAAGTGGAGGAGGACTGATGTCCACAGTGGAATGTGGAGAAGGAAACTGGATTGGAGCAGGCAGTGAGCTGCAGCGAGGCGCTGGGTAGGGACTGTCAGAGCTGGAATGACAAATGAGCTTGTATCATGACACCTTTTCCTATAACGCAGCAGAGTTCGGATGCCTGGAGCAGCAGGGAGTCACTATCTGACAGGGACTGAGCTGTGGCGCGTTAAACCACACAACCTCACAACCTCTCATAATGCTGGTCCCCGTTAATGTTAATGACTTCTTGATATTGATGGTTTAGGGAAAAGTGTATAATTTATCTGGAGAGCTTCAATGATTTGTTGATGAACAGAGCAACTATTTTACTATAATTGGCTGTAGTTGAGTTTGAGGTTTTTAATTTACCTACAAGTTCCCAAACTCTTGCATAAATCTGTATTTGGATTTTTACACTCATACATTTTCTCTAATTGTACAAAATTTAAGCAAAAATAGCAAAATATCTGGTAATTTTTTGACATTATTTGGAACCAGAGTCGGCTCAGAAGTGATCGTGGTGACATATGGGCTCCACCAAACGTTGTTCACTTTGTCCCAGGGGAGGAATCATTCAGGGGAGGAATTAGACTAAGACAATAAATCGTCACTGCCTTTAAAGACGATGACGATGGCTCTAACAGCCAACATGCCTTTTTCAAAACTCTCTGGTCCTGGATGTTTTCACGTTGGCAACCATAGAGATGTTGGCTTAAGTTGCCGTTGTGCCGTAACTCGCAGTTGAATCTGTTTGCGTCAACAACACTGCCTCCCCCTCCCCTGCGAGCTGGGGGGTGGCTGCAGACAGGGTGGGGTGCTGTGTAATTGAATACATGCTGTCTTTCATTGAGTAGTGAAAGTGCCCATAAAGGGGCTGGGCACCGTGCCAGCCCTGAACATCACTGGAGCTGGGTGACAACCACAGCGCTCGGACACTGTTCGTCCTTCGCTCAACCCACGACCCCCTGCTGCACCCTCCTCCCATTCACGGGAGTCATTCTCAAGATGATGCACATTAGTGTTGCAAATGTAACTCATTAAAACAGTGGTGAGCAGTGAGCAGCAGTAAATCTTATTCAAAGTGTTCGAAAGCAGTGAAATCATTAATATGATGATGAAGAGTGAAGCTGATGCTCTGTTTCTTTCACAGCTGGTGGCATCAATCGTCTTCATCAGTTTCGGAGTGGTGGCCGCCTTCTGCTGCGCTATTGTTGATGGAGTGTTTGCTGCGAGGCACATTGTGAGTATCCCTGAAGCTTATTTAACTGAACTCATAAATTAGAGGTTTGCATAACACTCATGCTCCGACAATGCCATCCAGATTAACTCTTAATACACTCAGTCTGCATTACACGTGTAGTTTAACATATGCCCTCCTGACTGACCGTCGCAGCTGCCACACCCTTCTCAGGGAGACGAATATACTTTGTGGTACAGGGAGATGATGCAAAGTACATCAAAGACTAAATAACCGCTAATGCACTCTTAAAAGAATTATGCCAGAATGAATTAAGGCTGGGTGAAAAGGGAGAGCGGCACCATTAGCAGGTTCGTTTGCCAGGAAAATAGAGATTTTCCTTTCAAACCTTTTTTCAAACACTAAAGAGACACAGGATTGAAAGAGAAATATGAAATATAATATGATGCAGAGACACAGC